GTGAGTAACAGACGCGTTACTCTCATGTTTCTGGTTTAACAGAGTCGCTATCGAGCAGCGATGGAAATCCGGCAGAGCTTTAGTTCATAATGTTCACTGTGTCGGAAACAGCGAGGCTGAAGTTGGCTTCTCGTTCGAACTCCCCGTTCCACCTTAAATGAGGCGCCAGAATGTAACTGCTGCACCATTTAAGGTGGAACGGGGAATTCGAACGAGAAGCCAACTTCAGCCTCGTGTTAGAGACGGAGGGGATTTTCCTTCGAGTTGGTGTCAGAAAGGTGTCGTAGGGACAGACTTTTCAGTGAGAAATTTTATAATGTATCGTTTCTGACGTTTTCTGTAACAGTTGGACGCTTGTCCAGTTGAAATGACCATTCAGAATGGCTGTAATTGGACTGGAACGTTTTGCCTGTGGCACAAATCGTGTCCTCTACTTTCAGGGGTTCCCAGCTCCAACCCTGTTGACCCCACACTGAGCACCTTATCTAGCACACCTGGTTCAGCTCATTAACTAATTAACAGGCTAGAGCAAACAGGGCTGAGTCTGGGAACCACGCTGGAGCGCTGTGTGCTGGAAGTGGCTCAGTTTTTAGGCCAAGGACTTTCCGCACCTTAGCCTCATCCCAGGGTCACATACATACACTGTCCCTGTTTCTCTCTGGAAGCCTTCAGGTGTTTTCACCCTCAGCCACCGTCATGCGTCCCAGGAGGAAAGAGATACTCTAAATGAGATCTCCTCTTAACCCTCTGGGGTCCACGCATGTCAAATTCGATGTTTCTACGTCTGTTTCTGTATCTTGGCGATAATACAGTGCAGAATTACAGTTCAAACATTTCCTGAATCTGTAGAGTCGCCCTTTCCATTCCACCACTTTTCGAGATTGTACATGACTGGCATCCGGAGTTATGAGGCTGTGAAGAGGGGCTGAGATACTAAAGCAATAAGCCACGAGAGGCTCCCTTCCCTGTGATAAAATCACAGTAACCAACATAAAATATGCTAAAATATAAAATTTTTCAGAAAATAATTTAAGTAATTATTAATAATAATCAACATAAACAAGTATTCTGCCAAGAAATGTAGTTCCTTTAGAGTATTGTATTACTGCCAGCTATGGACCGCTGAATGAGGAGAAGAATGTTTGGTTGCCCATCGCTGTACACTGCGGTCATTTAACATTTCGCCATATAACAATGAACCTATGATATCACAGCACTGTTTAATGCAAAAACACTTACTTTATAAGTACTTTTTGGTCACCAAATTACCACCACGGGTCTTATTTAGCGCCAGTCCAGCAGTGCCCTTCTCTCATGCTGGGGCTGAATCTCAAGTGGCTCCCTGCTTCCTACATTGTGCACTACGTAGGAATTTAAATACTGGATCCTGCAGCCCAACAGTGCAAAATATAGCTAAAAACAGTCGTTTGGGATTCAGACACAGGCTAGAACTTCTAAACTTTCATAGCTAGCACACTGTTTAGGGAGTACAGAACCGTTTGTGTGACATTTTTAGACTTTTGTTTTGCCGAGTGACTTTTAAGTTCTATTGCATCTTAACTACTTTAGCTTTTAAACTCCACAGTGAAAGTCTAAGTGCACCCACTGGGCCTGCCTTACCTATGGCGCATTACATGAACAGTCAGAGCCGCGTTGAGCCAAAGTGCAGATTGTTAACTGATCATTCAGGTTTTAGCAAGTTGTAGTGAGTGAACTGGCTAACTTAGCACACTGTGAGCCTATTTTACAATGTTATTAAGTTCAGGTTTATATTTTGTGGAGTTTGTGGACAGTTGTGGTTTGAAATATTATAGCGGTTCACAAAGAACTCTTGTTTTGTTCGGTGCAAACTTGGCTACTTGCTTGTTGTGTGTTAATGCTAACCAGCTAGCCAACATGGGCAAGCAACTGCTAACAGCAGTATATCTTATTTGTTTACAACCTTACAGTGAGAAAATGCACTGAATGAAACAGGTAAGACTAATAAGCTGTTCAATGGTAACATGTTCGAGAATTTAAACACTGACTGCTGCCATCTTAGTGTTAAAGTTGCTATAATTAGGCATTTTAATATCTGATCAATTAAAATAGTGGTCAATCATAATAGCTTAACAGTGGTATATTCCCCTGACTATATCTGTATTAATTTGATATGAACATTGTTCCACTGCATATTCACTATATACATATATACTTATATACTTAATACATACTTCACATATATACTTAATCTGGCCAATAATTTATTTAGATTTAATATCTCAGTTGCTAATTTTATTTAAAAGAATAAACATCCCAAACTACGGAGCCCTGCTGGTGAGTCCTGTATCAATTCATTACGTGTTAACGTGTGAGAACGAGATCCTAATGCATGGCCACAAGTTAGTAAGGCATGGGAATGAGATAATAAAGTCATGGCCACAACTTAGTAAGGTGTGGGAACGAGATCATGCATTATTAAGCTGTGGTCAAGGCTTGATCATCTCATTCCCAGCCTCAAGTCGTGGCCACGCATCTGGATCTCATCCTCATGCCTTACTAACTTGTGGCCACACTTTATTTTAATTTATACAGGATTTTACCAGCAGGACTTCGTAGCAAATAAAATAAATGTGGGATGTATTTTTAATCACCAACAGAACAATGCAAGCTCACAGAGCCCACGTCTAAATAAAATAAATATAAAATCATGTATGTTTTTGTATGTACAGACACTGTATATAACAATAAATACAACTAAACATAAACACAGTAAGGCGCAAAAAGAGTTTTTTCCTTGGTGATTGCTAAGCCGCTTGTCAGACGACAGATGACAGCTTCGTTCAGCTCAACTCAGCTCTGTTCATGCAGTGCATTGTGGGAATGCTTGCCCACAGGGTACATTTAGTATCTTCCTAACTCCAATGCGCAGCTAAAGAAGCAAACTCAAGGCACTTCTAGGCTGATTGGCTGTCGTTTGCAGGGGTTAAGTCATTAATGGAGACGATTCGGTCTTCTGTTACGGTGAAAGGCGCCTGGCTGTGTGTCGCTGTAGCCAAAGACTGTGTACTAAAACTCTGTGTAGTAAAACTAAACCGGAAAGTGTGAGTTCCGCATGAGTAAGTAACCCCGCCATTACACGCACATATACAGCCTGGAGCGGAGCTGCGAGGCCCCCGTGTCCTCACACACACTCTGTCCTGCTGCGTGAGGTCGGCCCCAGAGTTCGCCTGACGAGCTGAAGGTTTCTTCCTGCTGTTTGGAATCACCATCTTCTCCTCAGAGAAGCAGTGAACGTCAATATTCGGAAGTATGTTGATGGACCGTCTTGCATTTGTTTGATCATTAGCAAGCTTTGTGCTGTGAATGAATTGAGTACTTCAGAATTGTGTATATGATCTTAATGTACAGTTTGTGTCATTTCTTATGAAATGAAGGGTATTAAGAGTGAGTTTGTCCCTCTTTCGTAAGGCTTTACACTAGATGTTGGAACATCGCTGTGAGGATTTGATTGAGCATTAGTGAGGACAGGTACTGATGTTGAATGATCAGTTCTGGGTCACAACTTATTGGATGGAGCTCCATCACTCCAGAGAACGCAGTTCCAGTGCTCCACAGCTCAATGCTGGGGGACTTTATACCCCTCTAGCGATATACCGGTTCAGCCTGACGTTGACGTTGGTCCAGTTCATTGTCAAAAGTGCGAGTTGATGAGTTAACAGGGGGAAAGGAGACTGGAGGGGAAAGCCAGTCCCTTGGGGTTAACTATTAGCCATTAGCCTAGCATGGAGACTAGCCGGCTTTCTTTGTGCGCCTTCAGGTGACTTCAAGCCGAGAGGCTCCGCAGCTTCTCAGTGAAAACGTGTGAACGGCTGTAATATTTACTAAATTCCAGCAGCGTCTGACGCTCATAGATTACAGCTCGAGTGTGAGAGACGCACATATGAGACAAATGGCTTTCGGGTAGTAGTCAGCCGCTGTGGGCTTTACATACACTCGCCTTTATCTCGTTAGGGTTAGGAAGAAATACTGACACCTGACTACATATTGATCATTTCTGTTTCACTATTGTGCTCAATAAAAATAATTTGGATTTACATTTTGGTTCTTATTAAAAGTGAAGAGACATCCAGACATCCAGAATAATACGCCTGAGTTAATCTACAAAAAAGGTTTACTTAAGCATCCAAAATGGTGTTTTTTGTGTGTGTGTAAATATGGTGTACCAAAACCATCCACCCACTACTACTCTAGCCCATGCTTGCTATTGGGCATGGTGACCTTCGGCTCATGCGGGGCTTCTTCAGAGCATCCCATTCTGTTGGTCAGTGCTTTTCTCTAGAGGTTAAAATGTACATGTGCAGTTGAATGCCAGTGTCAGTAACAGGTGCGTAAGAAAACATTGTAACCGTATTTTTTTAGAGATGCATGATGAAATCAGAATCATGTTGGCAGATATTTGCTTAAAAACAAAAAATCGGCATTCGACAGATGTTGCTGATGTATTTGTTGAACTCCAGGCTGCTGTGTCTGCATTTTATTCATTCTTCTTCATTTGTAACTCCATAGACATAAATATTTCTCTGCATTGCTAATCCAGATGGATCTAGCCCCAGTGTCCACATTTATAAAATGCTTATGCATCGACATTGGCGGATATGTTCATGATTAATATCAGATCGGTGCAGCCTAGTATTGAGTCTATTTGAAAACGCCAGCTGTCCTGCACATTGTGTGAATATTTTATAATGAAGTGACCAATAGAAACATTTCAAAATGATTTATTTAGAAGTTACATGAGCAGATATTAAGAACAAACCACAGATTTGCGGGTTTCTAACCACAGTGGTTGTATATACATGTATGAATGTGCATGATAAATTGCTGTATGTGCATCTGAGATTCAGCATGTCAAATATGTGACATTCTCTCAGCTTTAAAAGACAGAAAGGCAGGTTGTTTGCTGGCTGTTTTAAAAGGACGTGTCTTTACTGTCACTTTTTCAGCCCCAACAGCCCCCC